GCCTCTTTAGTCAAATTTCAGAAAAAAGATAAAAAAAACGCTTTAAAACTATTTTTATTAATTTTCGGTAACCATATTATACATGCATAAACTGTTTTATAATTATTAACTTTTGGTAACCATATAATGTATGCGTCTAAATATGTTAAATAGCCACTTTCCTCACTTTTCTTGATGCAAAACCGTCAATCACATTATTAAAACATATTTCTCTCAGGGTATCGTTATAGTTTCTTTAAATAGCGATATCGTTTAGATCATGTCGAGTCAATGACGTTCGCAATGTATTTTTACCTATTTTTAATTTTGAAAATAATCTTTACATTAGTTATCATCAAAATTAGATGATTTTTCAAAATCATTTCCACATTAAAGAAAGCATCCTGAACTTGCTTTTGTATTATTGCATTGTTGTGTCGTAGAAAAAATAGGTTATTTGATGATAAATAAAACAATATAACGATGTAAAAATATAAAATTTATCACAATTTAACTAATACAATAATAATTGAAAACAAATGTGGTATTGAAATAACAAAAAATATATGAATCTTAGTTACGTCGTATGACTTCTGTTAAAATCCGCAATTTCCCACAACTTAATTCTTAAATTCGACCCCTTAAATTCGGCTCTGATTACCTCCTTCTGTTTGTTCTGCTGTTGATGAAACTGGTGGCAAATGAGAATGCTAACATATTGATAAGTAAGTATATGCATGAATCGGTAATCCATGTGTTGTATCTTTTGATATAGTGGGAAAATAATAGCGACTTTCGACAACATTCGACCCTAATATCGATATATCGATGATTCTAAATCAATGATCATTTAACTCACATTTATTTGCACTGCTATTGGATATGACTCGGTGGCAGTTAATTACAACAACAACAACAACAACAACAACAACAACAACAACAATAATAATAATAATAATAATAATAATAATAATAATAATAATAATAATAATAATAGAGTACAATATAAAATGGATGCAATAATCATACTATCACTAATATTAAGTATTATAACAATTTCTATTCTATCGTTATATACAACGATTTCATATTGGGGAATCTATAAATCAATTCATGTAGATAAATATTGGCTAAATTAGATATTTTTAAAAAGGCATTTATCGCATTCAGTACAATTCATTGCACTATACTAAACAGTTTTGCTTATATTACACTGACCAGTAATTCATCGCATTTCACAAGACTTTGTTACTCACTTAACATCTACTACTCTCAGCCTGTTCTAACTTATTTTTAAAACTTCGGGCACTTCGAGGAAAGGCTTTGAAAGTTGCTGCGGGATAGCTGTTCCAATCTCTAATCGCTCTGTTACAAAATTAAAATTTCCCCAGTTCTGAATTGTGTTCCCTTGTTTGAATTTTGTGGGCATTATCGCTTCGGCCGACATAATTTGTTTTTTTCTAGTCTATGCTGAATTTCCTTCCAAGCTGGTAGACCTACGTACAATTTATAAAGTGCGCAAAGAATCGCTCTTGTTTTCTGACCTTTTTATTGCGTTAGTTCTGTAGATAAACTTATTCGTTTTCTTCTGTATTCTATTAAGATTTTTTTCGGTGTGCCTTTCTGAGCTGATATCAACATGCCACTCGTATTCCATGAGAGGCCGAACCAACGCAAGATACGCTCATTCTTTGGGGTTTGTTGAATTTTTCTGTAATAACTACTTTTACTAGTACAGCTAGCTGTAAATGTGAAATTCATTAAAAATATGTCAGTGTACGTATCGAAATACCCATGGAGGAATATTGCGTTAATCCTTTGGTAATACTATGAACTTTGAATACTTCGAACTCCTGAAACTTTCAAACATGGACCGAGAAACCAAGCTTTTCAACATAGGTTCCTTGGATTCAACACAAATCGAAACCTACATGTAAAAATTTTAAGACGTCATCTAAAATACATTATATGACTTGATTAAAATCACACATTTTAAAATAAATCAACGAGCAATCTGAAATTAACAATATTGTCTTTACAGTTTTGTCAATCCATACTTTTATTACCTTTTCATCATTTTTCATTTCGTGAAAATGTCAGCTTTTTGCCCGGCAACTCTGACGCCGATAGAAGGCAGGCTGCTATGCATTTGTTTAGTGGCGGATGGAATTGTAAAATACCCTTTCAGCGATGGTGCATAGCTCCTTCAGATAACATTCTTGTGGTCAATATTAAAATACGTACTCGTACACCCAAATTTCCAATTGAACAAAACAAAAGTGAATGAATATAATACTAGTGGCTCTACAATTTTGAAGCCTTAAAAATCTTAAGAAAGTGTTGTCGGGGCTTCATGCAAAGTACACCCTCAAAATCCAAATATCAAATTCAAACTTTAAAGGGCAACTTTTTAATTAATTTTTAATTTTAAAAAAATTGTTAAAACATTCAATTTCATTAAAAACTGTTTATTAAAAATTGTTTAAGGTTGAAACTAGTGGTGCTACATCACATACTTTCTGCCAATATTATATTGTTATCGTTATGTACGCCCATACATGCTTCATTAATTTCAAACAGAAATTGCACGAAAACAACTTTTACAAAAAAATGTACATTACCTTTTTTAATGTGCTTATTTTATACAACAGACTTTGGCTGAGACAAAAATTCCTATCTTCAATTTTGTAGTTTAAAAAATGTTTTTTTTTTCAATTTACGAAAAACCGAGCAATATCCGGAAATTGGACTAGCACCATATCTTTTTACCGCCCCTTATTACATAAGTGTAGACAATTTAAAGAAAAACATTGGAGCAGTTTTTGAGCAAAAAATATTTGCGATAACTTCGAGCCTAAATTTTGCAAAACTACTCATCATTTAAAAAAAGCGTGTACATTACCTTTTTTAAAGAGATAATTTTGTATAACATTCTTTGGGCAATAATATCTATCTTTAATTTTTTTTTTTTTTTTTAGAAAAATCGGGGGTTTCAACGAAAGTGAGACATGCACAGATCTCTTAAACGTCCTTTGCACTATTCAATAACAAAATTTAATTTAAAAAAATTGGAGCCATTTTTTTGAAAAAATTGAAAATTTCCTGAAGATTTCATGTAAAGTACCTCCAAAATTAAAATACCTGTTTTAAATTCTAGGAGCCGTGACATCAGCCAAAAGGATTGGAGAATATCAGTTTTGCAGAAAATCGGCTGACGGTTTATGTGCCAGCGTTGTGCACAGACGGATAGACGGACGGACACACACATACAGACGTTTTGCTGTTAATAGATTTTTCGGTGTGAAGGACACCCAAAACACGGATTCTGGCTACACCACGTATTAGAGGGATTTGATTTCTACATTTAGAAAGTGGATTTATCCACTTTTTCGTGACCAGGGCTCGACAATAAGAGTTTTTGTGTGGAAATTTCGCCGTTTTCCGGCGCACGATTACAATACTTTCTATTCTTACGTTAGTAAATGCAAGAAATTAAAAATTCTCGCGCACGTTTGTTATGCTATAATATATTATTATGAGAGGCATAAAATTAAATTAATTGCGGTACATAAATTAAGAAAACAAGATCCAAATGAGGTGCATGTTGTTCAAGTATAATATCGTGGTCTATATCATGGTCAAATCGTGTTTAAGGAAAATATGTCGTGTGTGGCTTTGAGGAGTCGCGGGGAGTACATCTGGGATGGGGCGAAACTCAGTGGGGGAGCCATGAAGTTTGTAGAGTGGTGAATAAAGCTCTAATTACTATATTTTTTAATTACGGATATAAATCCTTTACACAAAAAAATGGATTATAACATCAGGGTTTCAACAAAATTCACATTTATTATGAATCAAATTTAAAGAGTATCACTATAGTAATATTTTAGTTCTTTTATATTTCTGTTTATTTAAAAACAAAATATTGTCACCATATTCAAAATCACAAAACATTTAGTTATGTTAATTAGTAATTATTTTGCAGTCGACCTGGATGGCCGAGGTGGCTAAGAGCGTGTATTGGGCGAGTGCTTCTGTCGGAAGGGCCGCGGGGTCGAGTCCCGCTTTGGGCATGGTTGTTTGTCCCCTGTCTCTCAAGAGTTGTCGCGGAGTGCCTCGCGTTCTGCTGATCCCAGATCAGAGAAGTCCGCAAATGTGTTGGTGTCTACTGTATGATCGAATATGAGTCCCACCGGGACGTAAAGGGGTAATTGACTGTTGGCTAGAAAAAAGCCCTAAGGGAAAATATTTAGCACAATGGCTTCTATATGTAACATGATATGTCAAGTTCACTGTTTCGCAGGATCTATGGAACGCTATTTACACAGAAACTCGTCAGTGTGCAAGTGCTGGATGGGGAATACACCAAACAGATTTGAGACGATAATAGCATTACGACGTAAAGACGTTTCCAGGCACATTAGTAACTTAAAACGCTCGTCACAGCGCAGTACACGTTACCACCAGGCATAATTCCAAAACAGTATTTTAGCCCCGGACTCCGGGTGCTTGTATTGTAGACTGCAAAATGATACCGTAAGGCAACGTCTACATTTTTGGGGGCATTGGGCTTCGTGGGTACTACCTGTACGTCTTTGCACCAGTGGTCAGAAACACGACAAAATATATGAAACATTATGTGACCACCTAACTAATAATCCAAGCAATTGAAACGTATGGGCACCTAATTCTTCCCAATAATTAATAAACACTCAGCAATATGAGTGCGGACATAAACCACGTACTGTATGGAACTTGTAATAATCACAATTCACGGTGTGGCCGTTTGAATCAATAATAAATTATTTTCACTACTACCACTACCACTACCACTACCACTACCACTACCACTACCACTACCACTACCACCACCACCACCACCACCACCACCACCACAGCAACAACAACAGCAACAACAAATCCAAAGCAATAAATTTTAACACGGGAACTTTTGTTTTCTAAAAGTGGAGGGTCTCTTAACTATGAAGTCTACAACTAGGTGGCGCGAGAGGCACTGTTACCTGCAAGGGCGAAAGAGGAGATGCAGAGGCTGGCCGCCAGGAGCGCCAGCGGCGCGATCGCAGAGGTTGCCATGACGGCGGGCGACGGCGATCTGACGGGCGCGACGCGCCGCAGCGCATCTCCTCCACGACGCATGCCGCCGGAAACGCATCCACAGCGCCATCTGGATTCCCCCACCCCCTTCTCGCTAACGCGCAGCGACTCGGCTGCGCTGCGCACGCTCGCCTGCGCCACAGGAAGAATTATCATCTCGTTCATAGGGAGGACAGGGGCGCCCAGAGAAAACAAGGGCCCTGGGGCACTAGATCCATGAGGGTCTCATGTTTCCCACAAACTTTCGACTTATTTTATTTATTTATTTATTTATTTATTTATTTATTTATTTATTTATTTATTTATTTATTTATTTATATATTTTTAAGGTAAATCATTTTTCAAAAACAGTTAATTTTTTTACGCGCTGTCGGTGTGAAATGAATACATTGTCTGCTGCATCTGCGTGCTTGTCAATCAACCTCTGGATTGCCGGCACGGGGTTCTGTTGGTACTCCCGACTGATCTTTTTGCAAATTCTGATACCCAAGCATTGAAAGAATCTAAACCTAATAAATTAAATAATAATTTTCACCACTACAAAGTCCAATTCCTTCTTCTTGTTCTAGTATTCGACCGGCAGGAAGAGTAATTTCCCTCTCACTTTATACTCTCTCAGTGTTGGTCAAATGTGCCGAGCCCCGTTTTTACATTTATATAAATGGAAGAGCCCAAAGATACTGGTGAGTTCGCGTTCAACTAGAAATGTACGGGAAGTCGACACAGTTTCAATGTCGTCATGATTGTGTTTGCTGCGTAGTTGCTTCATCCCATTTACTGATTTCCTGTCCATGTCCTCGTCCACTCTCTAACTTGAAATTTCCTAACTTTCTGGGTATATACAGCTTATTCTCGTAGTGCTCTTGTACCCGCAGCGTCACAGTGCTCCGCCAAATCTGCATTGTTCCCCTGCTATGCTTCCTAAAACACTCCGAGCACGACTTCTACAAATTTTGTCAGTACTTGCTACCTCTCCACGATTCCGCCTAACTTTTAAGTTGACTTTCTTCGTCCGTCCTTACAGTTCTGACCCCCAGTGGTTATACGACTGTTCGAATGATCTACGGCCCTGGTAAATATTGTGCCTAGTTGCTAACAAATACGGTTTATTCCCGAAATACTCTTCTATAGTACTCTTGACCTCACTAAATGACAATTATTCTGTTGTGTGCACGCAGCCTATCTTGCCTGGAATGTTGCAATCCTTGGTCCTTGCACAACTTTCTAGGAACGACTTCTTCACTTCTTCACCCTTCACTTGATAGCGTTTCAGATGCTGCACTACCATGATTACGTAATCTTCCCTGTCATCATCGTGTCTGTGGAACTGCATACCGGCGGTGGTAGCTTCGGTCTCTGCTGCGTGTCAACGCACCACGTCATAGCCTCCGCGAATGCTGCTTGCTCCTGTTATACTAGCAACAACATACTTTAAAAGGTCTGACAGTTCTGTTAAATACTTGAAAACAATCTTTAAAAACAGACGGATGTACGGACAGATCTTTGTAGTAAACTAGTTTCGGTATCATGGATTTTCAAAACGTGGATTCTTTCTGCACAATGTGACAGTGTGATACGAGTAGAGTGAGAAATGTACTACTTGTGACAACAAGAATTGTCCACTTTATCGGAACCTACAATACAATTTTTTAGCGAAAAATTGTTTTCACTACATTATTACAGTACATTCTCTATACTACACTGCCCAGTCAACCAATGTGACTATCTCTCAAAATCCGTAATAATCCTTTATTTTTGCGCAGACAGTAAGAGAGCCATCGAGCGCAGAAAGAGGGTCAATTAAGTTCTCGAATGTGCCGTCCGGGGTGTGGAGTCAAGCCGACTGCTGCGCCGTGGCCAGTTCCGTTAGGTTCCTCGTTTGCGGCGCTTGGTTCGTGGCGCGAAGATCCGGATCGAGATGGTCCCACATATTTTCGATTGGGTTTATTCGGGGGATTTTGGTGGTCCGTTAGAGTACTCGTCCTGGCGTTCTTCAAATCATGCACATACACGTAGCATCGTTTTGCTGACAGATGTCTTGTTGTTGAAGAAAAACGATCTGTATATCCGAGTGATCATGGTCCCCAATGATGGATGAATTCTTCTGTTGAACCATTGTGCCTTCCAGAATGACGAGATTACCTAGAGAATGCGATGAAAACATTCTCCAACCATCTCGGACTCTCCTCCGGCCTGGACCCGTGCGCAGATTGTTGCAACGTTGCGTTTCAGACGTATACGCTAATGACCATTTGTCAGCATGGGAGCATGAATGAGTCGCCTGTTGCGGAGGCACATATGCAGCAACGTTCGCTGAACAGTTGCTGAGGAGGCCCTGTTGCATCTGGGTAGTCAGTTGCTCTACAGTTGCGTGTCTATCCGCCCGTACATATCTCCACTGTCATCTATGGCCCGTGACGCGCCACAGTTGCCTCGGCGTCGGTTTTGTATATCGTCAGTTTGTCATGCACGGTACTTTAAAAAAAGTTTGCAGTGACTACCAAAATGTTGCAGTGAAACATTACACAATGTCTCCTCTAAGGAACGCGGACTCCGAGCAACATAGAGCTAAGTCGAAAGGACGAGAGTGTTGTCAGGATGAGAGTTACAGTGGACGGTTAATAGGATCGGTAACTTCTCCGACCAATACCAGACGATTGTCCGAGCAGTACCTTAACTAACTGCGCAAGTAACGCGCGCCATCTTCCCTTCCTCATTCTCCCTTTATCTTTCACACACACACACTTAATTGTACCATACTTTCTCGCCATGGAGGAAGCATGTGCCAGAAGGAGCTTGTCTGTGGGGCAGGCGTTGTCTGCAGGAGAAATTCTAGATGGCGGCTGCTCTGATCCATAGCTTCGCGTGGTTTATCTGATAGATACCAATACAGTGCATGAGCAATACCCTAACAAACGGCCACGGTCCGTATGCAATCTTTCGTTCCTCTTTCTTGCCATATCCCCACCTCTTACGTACACACACGTACATACACTTCACTACCACACATGTCTGGAGGTCAGTAGGGGACGTAGCACTGTCCCAGCTGTGGCCAGATCGGTGCCCAATGGGGTTTTCCCAGACAATCTATAAACCAGTAGGAGATACATGGTTGGGAAAAACCCCAAAGCCGACGTGTAGTTTGGCACCGGGTGTCGCTATCTAGCGGAGGTAGATCGCCACCCCCTCCCGAGATACAAACATGTACTACAAGTAAGGGACTAATGACCTTATCAGTTAGTTGATGCACCAAGAATCGGCTGAGGTCGATCTCTTGCAGAAGAGATACTTCTTAGGGGTAGCACACGAATCTCACGTTCAACGGGGAGGAACACAGCCACCGCGCGAGGTGAAACATGCACTACATTTACAAGACGAATTATGAAATTAATGGACGCGACGGGAAATAATAAATACTCCCTCACTCCGACGTTTTTCTCAAAGTGACGTCAGTTTATGGAAAATATTGATAGCATCACATCCCAAGGAAGTGTTCCCTTTTTTATTTACTAGGCTGTCCGGGTGATGCCGCGTCCATGGCGAAGGTGCCGACGTTTCGGTCGCCATTCTGCGACCTTCCTCAGAGCGTAATGCCCTGAGAAGGGCATTACGCCCTTAGGAGGGCATTACGCCCTGAGGAAGGTCGCAGAATGGCGACCGAAACGTCGGCACCTTCGCCATGGACGCGGCGTCACCCGGACAGCCTAGTAAATACTGACTCCGGCCGCGGAAGCTTACGCTCTCACGTGTTCCCTTTTGGCCGGAGCGGGTGGAATTTCATGATTTGGTTCCGAATTCTGTGTCATTGGCACTTGGGTATATATATCTCGGTATGGTGAAGAAAGCTCGATAAGATGGTTACACATACAGGCAATGCCCTGGTAGGAATGTTTGTCACATTTTGTTTGAGTTACGCATGGACTGTATGAAACGTGAAGAAACATAAGCAATGACGAGGGTGCTATTACTTCTGCTTCATAAATATCCGTTCAGTTTTGATTCCGAGTGTGCAATTTACGAGAAGTTGTACATGAGTTTGACAACGTAATTTTGCCACGTGAATATATTAAAATGTAATGCAATTTGTGGCAATATGTAAAAATTTGCAATATATAAAAGCGGCTTATGAAAGTGACTGAAAATGTATGCAAAGAATATAAATATGTACTTACGTGAAAATGCTTTCCATAGTTTTAAATCCCAGATTTAGCTTAGGATCGCTTACTTCAGTCGCGTGTGGCTGTTTATCGACATAATGACTTTCAAGAGATTTGATTTTTGAGAACTGCTTTGCTTGATCTTGTTAGCGTGTAATGTCGTGACAGAACACCTTTCCAGAAGAAATCTCTGAGTAAAAAGTCTTCCATGGCTGTTTCCGCAGCTCCAGACCAATTGAAAATTCTGGTCTTTACCCTCAAGCAAAATTAGTAGTTACTTAGGGGGCTCCATCAATGCGGGCCTACGTCCGGAAAAATCATAAAACATTCGAAAAATGCAAAATATGCTTTTGTCAGTAAAACAGTTGATAATAAAATTGTCTTCTGTGAAAAAAGTTTGTACTTTTATAAGTGAAGTTTGGACTTTTAGAAATTAAGAAACAAGATATGAATTCGTATTTATAAATAGTATTTAAATAAAAATGTATTCTATTCTACAAGAGATTTGTATTTATGCAAACGTTATTCACTAAAACTAGTTTTTATTTTCTCGTGTACATACGGGAATATATGGAGTAAATATACGTAGTAGAAACCTAATGCTCCAGGGAAAATTTGAGAAAAATGTCTTTTTGACGCCATTAGATGGCAGATGAAAAGAGGGTGAGGCATACCCGAATAGATAGCACGAAATGAAGAGATGAAGAAACTAACTTGTACGAGAGAGTAGTGCGGATATAGGAACAATTCGTATTTACAGAATACATCGCCATACTCCGCCATTTTCTTCTCGTAACAGAACACAACTACCTTTCAGAGGATACTATAACTATCTTTATAGATGTTGCGGAAGCATTCGACCGGATTTGGCACAAGACATGAACC